TTAAAATTTGATATAATCTGCCTACAAGAAGTACATATCAAAAAGCAACATGAACAATTGTTGATACAGCCAAAACTAGGGAAAATATTTACTTCTTTGACACAATGCAAGAAAAGAGGAGTGGTTTTATACATTAAAGATATTATCCCAGCGAAATTGATCTATACCGATGACGATGGAAGAATACTAATGGTGGAAATAATGGACAATAATATGAAAACACTGATTGCAATCTATGCCCCGAATGACAATCAAGAATTTTATAAAAAATTACACATGAAAATAATTGAACTGGATTATGCTAATATAGTTATGATGGGAGATTTTAATGGAATTGTAGATAATAAACTGGACTACACAGCACAGAAAACAACAAATCAAAACACAAAGACTCTTCCTAAATCTTTTTTTTAAATGATAGATGAAATAAATTTAAAAGATACATGGAGAGAAAGAAATGCTAAGATTAAACAATACACCTTCTATTCAAATAGACATTTATCATGGTCCAGAATAGATATGATATGGATGTCAACAGAATTGTTAGCTAATATTTAAGAAATAAATATTGAAACAAGTACTTGGGCAGATCACAATCCAATGACAATTAAATGGAAAGGACAAAGAAGAAGATCTAGGTGGACGTTAAATAATACTATATTAAAGGAAAAAGACTTCACACAGTGGATGGAGAAAGAACTGGCTTTCTTCTTTAGAGAAAACAAAAAAGAAGATACATCAATGCAGAACGTATGGGATACAATGAAGGCATCTGCCAGAGGCTTGATAATAGACTATACAAGGAAAAGAAATACCATGAAAAGACTAGCCTCTAAGGCATTAGAGGATGAGTATAAAGGACTTGAAAAGAGCTACAGAAAATGCCACAGAAAAAGGACATTAAGTTAAAAATGGATATAATTAAACATAAAATGGGACTAATAGAAAAAGAAGAACTAGCACAGAAAAACAGAGGTGCGAAACAGAACTATTTTGAAGATGCAAATAAACCAGGTAGATGGTTAGGATATAAATTGAGAAAGGAGAAAGAATCAAGGAAAATATTGCAATTAATAGATGATCAAGGCCAAGTTTGCTATGGTAGTAAAGAGAAGAAGGAAATCATACGAGACTATTATGAGAATATTGATGAGGAAAGAGTTAAACAGTACTTACAGAATGCTAATCTACCCCAGATACCTAAAGAGATTGAAATAATGTTAGAAAGCAATATAACGATGATGGAGTTAACTGAAGCACTTAAGAAGCAAAACAATGGAAAGGCACCAGGCCCAGATGGACTTCCGGCAGAATTTTACAAAACACTACAAGAATCATTGAACCTTCCATTGCTAGAAGTTATGAATGAAGCTATGCCAAAGAAGAAGATATCCAAATCATGGTCAGAAGCTTATATTACACTTGTCCCAAAAGAGGAGGCCGATCCATTACAAATCAAGAACTATAGACCTATTTCCTTACTAAATGCAGATTATAAAATCTTTGCTTCAATATTGGCAGAAAGACTTAAAAAATACTTAAACAATTTTATGCATCCTGATCAAAATGGATTTCTGCCAAAGAGACAAATTAAAGACAATATGAGAGTAATCTTGGACACTTTGGAATACTACGAGGCACACCCTGAAAAACAAATGGCTTTGATATTTCTAGATGCACAGAAGGCATTTGATAATTTGAATTGGCGATCCATGTTATTACAGCTGGAACAGATGGGCTTTGCTAAAAAATTTATTCAAGCAATAGAAGCTATATATCATAAGCAAACGGCAAAGGTAATGATAGAGGGAGAACTGACAGACTCTATTGATATAAGAAAAGGAACAAGACAAGGGTGCCCACTATCACCTCTGTTGTTTGTGTTAACCTTGGAAGTGCTAAACAGAAATATTAGAGAAGAAAAGGATATAAAAGGGATGAAAATTAAAAAGGAAGAATTTAAGTTGCAAGCATTCGCAGATGATCTGGTTTTCATTTTAGAAGACCCACTATAAACAGCATCAAAATTGATAGAAAAGATAGAGGCATATGGAAAGGTGGCTGGTTTGAAAATAAATAAAGATAAGACAAAGATCTTGACAAAGAATATGCTATTAAGACAAAAGGAAGAACTGGCGGATCTATTGAAAATTCAGGTCACAAATAAGATCAAGTACTAGGGGATACATTTGACAGCAAGATGTAGTACATTAAAAGAGAATAATTATATCAAACTTAAGCAGCAGATAGCGCTAGATTTGGCGAAATGGGAAAATTTACAACTGTCATTAATAGGGAGAATATCAACAATCAAGATGAATGTATTACCCAGAATTTTATATTTGTTCCAAACAATTCCAGTTAGGCTTGGAAAGTATTATTTTGAAGATTTAAATAAAATTGTGTTGAAATATATATGGCAAGGTAAGAAAGCGAGAATAAAGTTAAAACTTTTGCAAGACGCCAGAATAAGAGGATGATTTGGTTTGCCTAATTGGGAGTTGTATTACCAAGCTACAAATTTGATGTGGGTTAAGGAATGGATAACACTAAGAAAGACTAAATTGTTGACATTAGAAGGGTATGATCTGTTGTTGGGGTGGCATGCTTTTCTATGGCATAAAGGAACTAAAACACAGGGGTATTTTAGAAGACATTATATATGGAAGTCTCTGTGGTTAAACTGGGAGAAGACTAAAAGACAATGTTATTTGAAAATTCCAGTCTGGCTATCGACTATTGAAGCATTTTGTTATCCTATAATATATAAAAAGGAACAGTTAGATATGGTGAAATATTGAATGAAAAGGGTGAACTTAAATCTATGCAAAAATTAGAGGAACAAGGTATAATGATGAATTGGTTTTCATATGTGCAAATACATTCAAGGTATGATAAAGATTCTAAAACAGAAGGTTTCTATGATAAACTGACTTGGATAAGATTTTGACAGGTACTGATGAAAAGGTGATTAAAAAATTGTATGGATATTTATTAGAAATTAAACTAGAAGAAGAACAAGTTAAAGAAACAATGATTGCTTGGGGGAAGAATTTTGGATATGGGATTGATCTAGAGAAATGGCAAAAATTGTGGTTTCAAAATTATAAAATGACAATGTCAACAGCATACAAAGAAAATTTGTATAAGATGTTTTACAGGTGGCATTTTCCCCCGACAAGAATAGCAAGAATGTTCAAGAACAAATCTGAAAAATGTTGGAAATGTCATCAGACACCTGGCTCATATTACCATATGTGGTGGACTTGTGCGGATGCTAAAAAATATTGGACTAAAATCCACACGTGGTTGGAAAAAATGACAAAAAAACATATAGACTTGAAACCAGAGATATTTTTATTGGGAATTGTACCTGAAATATATAGTAAAGACTTGAAATACCTGATTGTAAATGTATTAACAGTGGCTAGGATTGTATTTGCCAAAAACTGGAAAAATGAGAAAATACCATTACAGGAGGAAATCATTAAGAAAATATTGGAATGTGCTGAAATGAGTAGATTGACATTTGAAATCAGAGAACAAGATGATAAACAATTTTATAAAATTTGCGATCTATTCTATCAATGGTTAGACAATAAAACATGGTAATGAAATATGTAGATTCTTAGAAAATAATAAATATATAAAGATGTATTCTTTTCTTATTATATCTACAAAATGATTGTAGGATAGATTTGAGATGATAATATGAACTGCCATAAAACAAATTAAGTAAAATACGGATTATTTTGTAAAACATGAATGAATAAAAGTATAGTCAAATGATTAACAATGATATTAATGTATTTAATATTTGATTGAAAATATGAGTATACAATGTAATTGTAATTGAAGACTACGAAATGGAAGCACAAAACAATTTGTAAACCAACCGACACACTGTATGTATATATATGGAAGATGGCTTGATGTTATTATGTTTTGTTTGTCTATGTTTGTATTAAAAACCAATAAAAAAATTTAAAAAAAAAAAACATATACTATTCCCCACATCAAGAAGCAGAGATGGTTAAATTGATTCTTTTATTCAAAGAAGAAAATATATTTAATTTTGTTTCTATTTGGAAATTGTTTCTGGATTTTGTGCTTGCAATGTAAAAAAATGAAACATTGATTTTATTTTTGTTGTTGCTATAGAAGTGGCTAGTACCGTGTTTCCCTGAAAATAAGACCTAGCTTGATTTTTACATGTGTGCCTAATATAAGCCCTACTCCCAAAATAAGCCCTGGTTAAGATCCCGCTTACTCCATCCCGTCTGGTTGTATGAGGTGGGGGGCGAGATGCATGCGTAAAAATTAAGCTAGGGTGGGGGTGAAGCTGCCCCATGCGCCCCACACCCGCTTACCTTAGGACCGCCATAGCCAGGCCTCCCATGCTGACACCTGTTGCACTGCTGCCTGATTTCTGCAGCCACTTGCAGCCGGATGCCACATGGTGTATCGCGCCAGTGCTGCCACTTGCAGGACGCCATGTGCTGCACTGGTGCCACTGCTTGCGTGCGCAACAGCACATACCATGCGGCCTTCAGCTGCAAGTGATGGCACCAGCATGACAAGCCACGTTGTGTCCTTCTGCAAGCAGCGGCACTGGTGCAATGTGCCATGTGGCATCTGGCTGCAAGCAGCTGCAGAAGTCAGGCAGTAGTGCAACAGGTTTTGTTGCATGGGAGGCCTGGCTGTGGTGGTCCTAAGGTAAGCAGGTAAGACACACCCCCCCCCCCCCCCAAATAAGACCTGGTGTTTATTTTGGGGCCCAAAATAAAATAAGACCGGGTCTTATTTTCAGGGGAACACAGTATATGTTGTGTAAAAGTAAAAAGTTGAGATTGTAATGTTATCTTCTACTGTGCTAAAGAGACTTAGAATGTTTCTTGAAAATGTCAAAGATTGTCCTTTTTTCTTGACTACAGAAACTGTGTTATAGCCAACCAACTTTATTTAGTTAATGGAAAATCATAACATTCCTACAAGCTTACACTACATACTCTGCTGCCGGTGTGCCTTCTTCGGTTAGACATTGGAGAGTGGCTGCGGCTCCTTCGACGCCGATACTCTGGGGTATATGATCTACTTCGTGATCGCCGCCTGTGAGAATGGGATCTAGAGCGAGTGTATCGCCTGTGAGAATGTCTTCTGGATCTAGACCTTTAAATGTTAAAAATATAGTTCCATATAAAAACTGCAATAGACCATCAAAATCAATATTAAAAGTTATTAATGACAGTTTAAAACAACTGAAGGCATTTATATATTAACTGGCCAAAATTTAGGACATTAAGCTTGTTGTTTGCAAAAACTAACATGCAACCTTTTTCAGGATAAGTTCTGCACTTTGAGTGACATGCTGGAGTCACATATGGAGGAAATCCCACCCACCCCCAAAATTCCAAACCTCACCTACCCTGAAACACATTTGTTAAATTTTTTTAAAAGGCAAGGAAATGAAATATTACTACGTCTTAAAATTGTGAACTGGAGCAGTAAACTGCAGAAAGACTCCTAAAGCTGCATGACCACTGGAACCCCATTCTAGAAGGTACAAAATGAGAGGAAAATCATGTATTTTTATTAGGGACACAATTTGTCATGGAAACCTTAGAATTTCTGTTCAAATACCGTGTTTCCCCAAAAATACGACCTACCCCCAAAAAACAAGCTCTAGTCCGATTTTCACACCTGTGCCTAAAATAAGCCCTACCCCCAAAATAATGCAGCCCTGCCAAACATCTGGTTGTACAAGGTGGGGGTGAGGCGCAGCCATAAAAATCAAGCTGGGGGGGACGAAACGAGAAAGGGGTGTAGAGCTGTCCCACGCACCAGCTTACCTAAGGGCCCCATAGCCCAGCCATCAATGTCCTGACAAGTGCCTGGCCTTGTGGCGGCGGCTCCAGAAACCCCGTCCAGGCCCGCTTCTCCTTGCTCGCCACCACAACAGAGCAGGAGGCTGAGTGAAGCACATGGGGTCCTGGACAGGGCTGCTTGAGCAGTTGTCAGGATGTTAATGGCCTGGCTGCAGGGTACTCAGGTAAGCCAGTGCAGGGCATGGGGGGCAGCTCCGCATCTGCCTTGCTTCCTTCTCCACACACCCCCACTGCCTCACTTTGTGGCCACTGCACCAGTGCTGTCACGCCCGTCGGAATCTGATTCAGAGGGGGAGGCCAAACAGCTGAAAGGGATGGAAGTGTGGCTCCGTTGGCTGTGGAAGAAACTGGGGAAGGGCACAGTCTGGCTGAGCAGAGCAGGGAAGAAGTAGAGCAAGGGAGAGAGAATTCAGAGGAAGACCCAGGCCCACCCCCTCTTCATTCTAGGGCACGCAGGGAGGAACGGAGAAGGGAGCAATGTGAGTTGCGTGTCTTAGGAGGAGGAAAGGGCCCTGATTTCCCTTCATTAGCTGCAGCTGGGAACAGTGTTTAAAAAGCTTTTGTCTGAAGGAGGAGGAGCAGGGAGAAGAAAGAGGGGGGGGGAGAGAGAGAGAGAGAGAGAGAGAGAGAGAGATCCGATCTAACTTCGGAGAGTTATACCAGGGCTGGCAGCTCTCTCTCTCTCTCTCTCCCTCTCTCTCTCTCTCTCTCACACACACACAGAGGTTTGATCAGATCATTCTCTTGCTCTCTCACCCTACCTCATGGCGGCACCAGCCATTCTCTCCACAACGGCCTGCAGCTGATCCAAGGCGCACAAGCCGATGCCCTTTGGGCGCCTGCCTCCCTCTACCTCCTGCTGCAGTCGGCCTCCGTGCAGTTGCCACCTCCTGTGCGCACATGGTGCTTATTTTGGGGCCGAAAAGAAAATAAGACTGGGTCTTATTTTCAGGGAAACACGGTAATATTTTTACATTCTTATAGGAACATTTTCATATTTTATAACTACATGTAGTAATGAACTTAAATGGCTTAACTGTATTTCTACATTTGCACATGCATGCTTGGATATTGTTAAAGCACATTACCACAACTGCATTGAAACATGCATAGTACAACTGTTCAGATGGGCTTCAACAATGTCATAACATTCTCTGATCTTTTTTTTTTTTTTTTTGCCATTATCACTATATGGCTACTTATGAAGTTTCTGGATAATTTTCCAGCCCTGACAATAAAAAAATCTTATTACAATGTCTACATTTTCCATTGAATGGTCCAACCAACAATCATACAAGTTTAACATATTCAATTTTTTAATAAAAAACAGACACATACCTGGATTTTGATCTTGATTGTGAGTGTGATTCAGAATGTTTAGAAGCTCTTGATGGGCTACGAGATCCTGACCTGCTCTCAGATTTTACACAAGCAGGACTCCCAGCTGGAGATTTTGACTGGGAGCGTGACTCCTAATGAAAGAAGCAGTATTAAAAATGGTATTGGTTGCACAAATGCCTACCGTCTTTTGTTAAAAGTAACTATATATTATTGAGTGTGCCTGAAAAATAAACGGTTAGGAAATACTCTCCAGGACAAGATTTTCTTTAACCCACTGTTAACACTGTGAAATTTCCTCAAACAATTCCCTATTAAACCAGATGACCAATGCTCTATTAACTAAGGAATCATGCAAATTCATCTACAACTTGATCATACAGACACTGGAACATAAACCATACATTTACTTAACCTAGGACCCATTCATTCTTCCAGATTCTTTTAATTCTACTTCACTCTTGCTTTCTACTTTTCTTCATTCTTCATTGAGTTTTTCATTTTTCATACTTCGTGTATTCTTCCCCAATTCAAACAATTCATTATAGCCTTAAAAATATTCAAGTGCTTCTATCTGACCAATCTTCTGTTCAATTTTTTCCCCCATTCAATTTTAATTTTCTGATCTTTAACACTTTTCATTAGCCTTCTTTTATCTTGATTTATCTTCCATATTCTTGGAAAAAATTCTTCCATTTCTTCACGAACATTAACCTTAATGGAAAAAGAACATTTAGTATATTTAAGCACGTGGGGATTATAAAACCCTGCTGGAGTTTCAGAATTTTACCTACTAAAATGGAACAGTCAGCAGGTGAAATGCAAATAACTAGTTTATAAAAGCAATTTAAAAAAATATTTTAACTGATATAATCATACAGGCTCTACTAATGACTCCACCAATTCCCTTGCAGTATTTCCCAAATATTCTATTCCTATTCTGCTCCCTAACTTCAGTAACTTTTCAAGTCTGTAATATATATCTATGTTTATATCTACACATACACACACACACACAGAGTTTTAAGTAATACGCTTGCCTGAAGTTTTTTTTTAAAAAAGAGCAGGATCTCATATCTTACTACAAATTTAGTTATAAAATATATACTAAGCATAAGTGATGGTTGTTCAAGTCTCAAATCTGTACTGAAAATTCAAATTTGATTGACCTCTTTGGATTTTGGCCATAGAAGCTTCCTCAGATTTATAAATCCCACTATCTACATCTATCACTAAGCATGATTGTTTTATTCAAACGTTACAAAATATTTGTACAGTAAAATAAAAACAAAGGTGAACTATTTGTGTTCAATAGAAGACAAATACGGTTTAATAGTGCTGGTAATGGGTTAACTACTTGAGTAGGATGTCTACTTTGTACTCCATCAGAAGAAATAAATCAGACAAGCCACTGTAGAAAGAGCAAACATATTATATGTATTAGATTATCTAATATTATTTGTTCTCCCCAAATAAAGAACCAATCAGGAATTACTTTCAAATTTAACTCAAAAGCTGACCTCAAAAAGATCTGATTTTCATTCAGGAATTAAAAATGCTCATTTTATTATCTAATTTCAGAACTTTTTAAAAATATTGGATAAATTTGCAAAAATCTCAAACATTTTTCAGCTTTAGCAAGGATCTACAAATGCTTGGTGGCTTTTGTAAAATCCAAGTTTTATGTATTTTTCTATAGTACTTTCCTACAATTAAATATCCTATCATCCAGAACCACTTCAGAAAAGTAAAAATTTGTAATCTGGGAAGAATGGGTAGGAAGAAATACGGTAACACTGGAAAATGCATACAACCAACGATAATGCTAGACAGCCTACTTGAATGGAACTAGTATTTTTTGACAAAGAGTTTCTGATCCAAAGTGCCCAAATAAAAGGTCTCTTCAACTATGTACAAAAGTATGAAATAAATTGTGGGGTGTCACATTAATTTAGCAACTGACAATTCTACACAAACTCTTTTTAACAGATAAAACCAACTTATATAATGACTAACAAATAATTTTAATTCAGCAGACTGACGTTAATTTTAAGAAATACGTCTACAATATTCCTAAATATTGAACTGCCTGAAAAATTCCACCCAACTGGACTTTATTCACATACATGACTAAGGTTTCATGGGCTACACTTTAGTAAAGACGATGGAGCCATAAACGCATTACACATAGCCATGTGACTATTTCACTCAATGACCATAATCCCAGCTCTTCCAGTTCTGGTTAAACAGAGCTCCAGGAAGAGGGCCTTGGATCGTCCACCACACCTGGGAGGCCAGGGCTCTCTCCCCATCCCACACCAGGGAGAACAAATGCGAGCACCATCATTCTGAAAGGCTCTTTTTTGGTAGATCTGACTTCTGTTCCGCCAGCACATGGGATTCCCCTTCCCTGCACAGAGGGGAGAGGAAACCCATCAACAGCATGTGGGGGGTATGTACCTCAACTCCAACTTCCCTGCCGGCTTACCTATTGACTTTCTGGGAAAGATGGCAGAGAAGATTGCAAATGGAGGCCACAAGCTTGCAGGGCACTTGGCAACTGGTTCTAAAAGTTAACAGGTTGGCAAGCTCCCAAAATGCAGTCATGTGACAGGGGGCTAGCACAATGTTTTACAACAGGCAGAAGTGCTTTACAGGTCACAAACCATGTGTTCCAAGGCCACTGTGACTGCAAGGACTAACTGTAGAAAGATATACTTGTCAATGTAATACTGAGTTTGAAACATAACTATGTACTAATGATGAACATGTTATTGCTAAAATATATAAGCCTCTGTTGAAATAAGAAACAGAATACGTGAAACTTTGTATGAAAATAGGGACTAAAATGTTAGTTATAATATAGAAATGGATCATTGGGGAAATATGTGGTTGAAGGGATTGAGATTTACATTATGTTTTAATATTAAGTTAAATATTTAATATTAAAGATAATTCTTATAAAACGTATTGTTGGTATGTCAGCAGAAAAATTGTCTAGAATGTATAAAGGTACTTTGAATCATTGCTGGAAACGTGAAGAACATCAAGTGACATTTTATCATGTTTGGTGTACGTGCAAAAAAACAAAAAAAAATGAAATCAGGGGCTATTCTTTTGGGGCTAATTGGCAGGGAACTACAAAAAAGTCATGGAAATTTGTTTCTATATATGACAACTGCAACAAGATTATATGGAGTCCTCAGTGCTCTCTGAGCTTGGTTGTTTTCTTGTATGCATTTTATCATCGTTGGTGCTAGAACAGAATGGGGTTTGCTCTCTTTTTTATATACTAGTGGTTTGACCCACCAGTGTTTGAGGGAATATTCCTGGTGGTTCCTTGATCAGGTTGTAGTTTAATGTTTGTCTGTCTGAGTTGGTTGTTCCTCAATTGGGGTACTGTTTAACTGCTTGATTGTTGTTCTGGTGTTAGTCCCTGCTTATCTGGGTGTCGACTCCTAGTGAGGAAGAGTTCTGTCCTTTTATTCCTTTTTAATCTTTTCACTGTCTCTTTTGAATGGTGTGTAAATGTTGTTTATCTCTATAAACCTGTTGATGGCTAATTTGTCTGAGTGCCAAGCTTCCAGGAATTCTGTAACACTTTTGGATTTAGCTTAATCTAGGATACTCAGTTTCCCTGTTGAAACTATGGTTAAGTCTGTCCAGGCGTTGTAACATTAAGGAGTTTTCTTCATGTCTTCTCTGACTGCTAGTTGGTGTTCGTGGATGTGTTCTGCCAGTCTTCTGCCTGTTCATCCTACGCAGTGGCTGTTTCAGTCATAACGCTGTATGCTGTAGTTGATTCCTGTTTGTTCTTCTGGGGCTGCTGGATCTTTTGGTTTACTTAAGGTGTTTTGGAGAATTTTAGTTGGTTTGTGTGTTATGGTGACACTGTGTGGTTGTACTAGCCTACTGGTTATTTCTGAGATGTTTTTGGCATATGACAGTGTTAGCCTTTTACAGCTTGTGCTGGTTGTGCTATAGTGGGTTGAGTGGTCAGGCACTTTTTTGATGATGATGTTGTGTGAGTGTTTCCTTTTTTGGTGTTCAGGGTTGCTGCAGTGCATTTCTACTCATCCAAATAATTAAACACGCACATATAAACATACAGATTATATAATCTATTTAAGATAATATCTTTGAGGGAGATGGGAGGTACAGAAATGTGAAAAAATATGCTCAAAAATGGAAAGGTTCGACACTACCCACAATGGAGGAATGGTTGATGAAGATGATGAAACTTTCAGATGGCTAAATTAACTTCTTTGATTAGAGAAAAAAAGTATCTACATTTATGGCTGACTGGAAACTCTTATAGACTTTTTGCATGAATCAGAAAAAAATTTACTTAGGATTTCTGGTTTCACTGAGTGAACGTTTTTGTAATTGGGGAATAAGAGAACTTTGTAAGCATACTTGTATTTGCTGCAAATAAAATTGTAAGCTTCTATTTCTTTTTATCCTTTCGTCACTTTTGTTTTTTCTTTGTGTTCTCCTTATTCTATATTAGTTTGTTTTTATGTTCTCTTTAAAAAAATAAAAAGTATATTAAAAAAAATAGCAGTGATTATAAAATATTTAGCTAGTTAATGAGAGGGAAGGTAGAATTTGCAAACTATTTATTTTTTTATTATGAAAGACTTTCAATAGTTTTATGCCATTAGCAACTCAGAACAGAACCTGAATCCCAAAGCATCAAATAAAAAAAAAAATACAATTTATGTAGCTCAGGCTAGTTCGCCTCAAACGTTCTGTATTTACTGATAAAGGAGCAGGTTTTTCAGTATCTATTCTGAGAATAGTAAACTAGAGTGATAGCGATATACTGAAATTTCACAATAAAATTTTAAAAATCTAAACAGACCCACCGTTCTTACTCTTATCTGTCCCATTTGTCTCTATATAAAATAGATTCTTTTCACCCTCCCCCTGATATATGTTAACTTCCACCAACAAAACTGAACAGTGTACTTGGATATTCTATTAATACAGGTAGTCGAGTGATGACCACAATTCAACCCACAATTTATGTTGCTAAGTGAAACATTTAAGTGAGTTTTGCGGCATTTGTTTTGCCACAGTTGTTAAGTGAAACATTGCATTTATTAAATTAGTAATATGGTTAAGTGAATCT